CAGGCTTCCCGGCCGGCCGGCCCCTCCCAGCCCTAGGAAGACGTCCCCCGGGCCCCCTCAGCCCTCCGCCTCCCCTTTTCTCCCTTTCTCCCCGCTCCTGGCAGGCTGCAGCCGTCTCCTCCTGGTATCCCCTCCTTCCTCGAGCTCTGTCCAAGGCTCCCCCAATGGGGGCTAAAGCTTCCCGGCTACCCTGGATCTGGAGGCCGGGACCAGCTCTCCAGGTGACAGGCCTCTGTGTCTCCACAGTGGGCAGAGGCGAGCCTGCCTGGCTGATGAGCAAGGCTCGACTTTGTCACCAAGGCAGAGAAGGGGCTTGGGTAAATGACCCCGGCGGCCCCCACCCCTTGCCAGGCGTGAGAGTGGGTAGGGGCTTCGGACTTGAGGGGACCGGAGCGGGAATGAGGCAAGGCTGCCCCCTGGTGCCTGGCGGGTGCACAGACCCTTCCCCAAAGGCCTCAGCCCTGAGGTCCTGGATGCCCGCCCCCCACCCACCCCGTGTTCCTCTTCCCAGGACCCTCAAGGCCTCCCCAGCAAGAGTCAGCTGGTTGGGCTGCCTCTCCGCCGCCAGCTGAGCAGCTTGTTTAGAATTTTCTAGGGCTAAGAGTAGCCTGGGGGTGGGGTGGGGAAGGAAGGGGTCATTGTCCTGGCCTGGGAGGTAAGGTGTGCCCCCCTCAACCTCAAGCTCCCTGATCTGATAGTGGACACTGCAGTCCCCAGATGGCTCATCCCGTTAAGCTAAGCCCGAGGCCATCCGGCCAGCTTTAGGAAGAAAAGCAGTTCCGGCCCAAGCCAGATTGAGCTTGCTGGGTGAGGGAGGGGCAGTGTCCCCACCCAGGCTTGGAGGAGGAGCCTCAAGGGGTGTGTGTGATTGGGGGAGACAGGCGGTGTCACCTATGCTTAGACTAGGGGTGGTGGGTGGGTACCTTTGAGGTGGCAGGGTCACACTGCTCATCTGAACTTTCTCACTAGGGTCTTCTCTGGCCCAGCTTTTGACTGAAGCTGGTCTGGAGACAGGGGCGTTAGAGAAGTGACTCATAGATGGCCTAAAGAAGCGGGGCCACTCAAGGACCCAGGACAGAGGGAAGAGGGCTGACCCAGCTGGACTGCAGGCAAACCCCATGGCCTTTGAGAGAACTGAGAAGAGGACCCGGTGAAGTAGGCTCTGAGGGCCTCAGCCCAGCAGGAGTGCGGGGTGGGCGGTTGATGTCAGCAAAGGGAGGATAGTGACCTGGGGGAGGGCCACTTTGAGGGAGAGCGCAGGCCACCGCCAGACAGCTCTGGGAGCCGCGGGCAGGGGAGACTTTCAGATTTTGCTTGTCCAAGGGGTGGGTGTGGAAGGGAGAGAGAGTGGAGGCTCGAGAAGGATGTAGGAGAGCCGATGGCACTTTGGGGAAGTGACCACTGCTGCAGTTCCTCCTCTGGTGGGTTCCGAGGCCAGGGGCAGGATCATGAGAAGTTGCCACCCCCGACTGCTGCTGCCTCTGTGAGATCAGAGGTGCCCGAGGCAGAGGGCGAGGTGGCCAGGCTGGAGGGTACTGGAGACAGAAGTGAAGGGTGAGGGGCTGCCCAGAATGGCTGCCACTGCTTCACGGACCCTCGGAGTGGGGGCCCACACATCTGAGGGGAGGTTCAGTGGGCCCCCATACCTGACTCCCTCGACCTCCTGGAACTGGGCTCTTCTCCGGGCAGCCACCCCTTCCCACACCCACCTTCTTCCCCACCCCTTGCCAGCCCAGCCTGGGGTGCACCCACTACCAGCCCCTGGGCCAGGCCCCCCGCCTCCCTGCCTCCAGCTGGTCTGGACCTGGTAGTGACTGAATTCCTCACGGCCTGGGCCAGACCCCAAACCGCATTCTCTGAGCAGCCAGAGGAATCCTCCTGAAGCACAAATCTAAGCAGCCCCTCCTTTGTCTCATCCCTTCTCTGGGCTTTTCTGTGCCCTGGAGGTAGAACTAAATTTTTCTCCAAGACTACAAGATGGAGTGTGACGGGGCTGTGGCCTCCCAGCCTCAGGGCATTCCCCCTGAGTTTTCCCTCCAGGCGGGACCCACAGCCTGGGCTTCCCTTTCTCTGCTGACCTCCAGGACTCTGTCCCAGGAGGCTCCTGAGGGAGGGTCAGGAATCCTCCCCATGTCAGCTACCCTGGGAGCCGCCCCTGCCCAGCCAGGGCGAGCTGGGCCTCTTTGAGCAGTGCATGAAGTTCAGGCTGGTGAGGCTGGAGTTCCCGGGGAACCCAGGACAGAGCTCTGGTCTCTGTCACAGGCTCTGACCTGGGCGGCCAGTGACAGGGTCTTCTGAGGCTGCTCCCATGAGCTGCTGAGCAGTTGGGGGAACGAAGCCAAAGCGATTTCTAGCCCTGGCTGGGTCCTCTCCCACGTCCGAAGGCTTCAAAGCGTTCTCGGGCTTTGTCAAGGCATGTCAGGCTCGGCCTGGGGGCAGCAGCTGCTGGGGAGGGGCAGGGTGGGCTCTCCGGGCCCCCAGCTGAGGGCCAGGTGGTTCTCCCGCGCCAGCCCTGTCCAAGCCTCTGCCTGTCTTGCCAAGCCCTTGTGTTCTACTCACCGAAAGGGGGTTCCAAGCATGTGCAGGAGGGGGTGGGGGTGCCCTGCGACCTGCGCCCAGCCCAGAGCTCTTATGGTGGCTCCTGGGTGAGAAGCAAACTGTTCTCTGGGGCAGAGGCGACCAAGGAGAGCTGCGCCCTCCCCCTACGGTGTCCCAGGGAGCGGGCGGCCTTTCAGGCCCCAGCTGGGGCTGGAGGTTGGAGTAGCTGAGGAGGAGGGAGAGGGGAGGAGAGGGGGAGCTGGAGGGAGGGCAGGGGAGGGGGGCTAGCCGGAATGCTCCCGTTTGTTGGGGGAGGCCTGGGAATCGGAGCCAGCGCCCACTCAAGTCTAGGGCAGCTGCGGACGAGGGAGGGGCTGGGTGGGGGGGCCACCCGGTCCTGGGGTGACTGGTTATCCTGGGAGGACGGGCAGCTGGAGACGAGCCGGGCACAATGAGCTTCGGAATTAGAATAAGCTGGGAACAAAGAGGGAGCCAGAGTCCACCTGGAAGGGCTTTGTACTTCCAGCTCCTGGGGAGGGGGTCGATGTGCGGCTGCAGCCAAGCGGAGAACAGAAAGAATGGGGCTGGGGGAGAGGGCCTGCAGCAGGGAGGGGATGGGGGGCAGCAGAACCCCCATCCCTGCCCTTCCCACCAGCTGTGCTCCTTTACACAGACCCGCAGAAAGGAGGCTTTGGTTTTTTTACATTTTATATAAACTTTTATTAGACTGGTTTTATTCGTTTTGTAGATTGAGGGGGT